CTTGGAACCCTGCCACTGGGTAGCTCTCTGGGTACAGCTAGCTGACTTTCAGTGGGAGAAGAGTTTCTGACTCCTTTTAGGGTAATCTTTGGGCCTGCAGTGACACCCAGTCATAAATGCTTCGTAATAGGGCGAGTTTATCTTCTCTAACAGAAGTGTGACATCATCAGGTCTACTCAAATTCCAGAGTGTCATTAGGCCAAAGATTATATGGATGGATGCCTACATTCTCTTAATTATTTATCTTGAAGGAAAAAGGCACACAGATACTTGGCTTAGCATATTTAGGAAAAAAGAGTTTATTTCCATTTACTTCCCATGAGAAAGAAGAGGGTCTTTAGACTTTCCTAAGGGTTGCCTGTTGTTACTGACTTTTGGGGTGCTGGAGTCTCCGAGTGGTTTTCTAGGTTCTTCCTGTCCTGAACTGATCAAGACAAATATACATGGTAGCAAAGTTTTTTAAGGGTAGGAAAAGAAACAGGCTCTGTAGACCTAGTTTGGACCAAGTAAAGATGGCAAAAGAATTACAGCTTACACCGTGAGGGCAGGTCTCCATGCAGAGGGAACGCAGGGGCAGAAACAGTGTGGGCGGTCCTCAGACTGACATTAGGTCTGGACCACTGCATCAAAAATCTGCTTCAGTTCTCTTGAGAAGTCCACGTGCAGGCTGTGGGAATTGCTCTGTGCACGTGTCCTAGGATTTGTAATTAACAGATCACACCTTTTTCTTGGCCAGTTTTGCAGTGCCCTCATTACCTGTCTCACTATGGCACAGGTCCTAGCCTCCTTCATTCTCAGCAGCTTCCTGTCCTTCTCCCTTCAGGACGGACTTGCCCCGAACTGAGTGATTCTTCAGGAATCTGGTACTGCCTCTGTCTTGCTGTAAGACCTGCGACTCAGCCTGTGTCATTGGGTTGGGCAGAAGGTGCTTCACCCTTACATACAGTTACTCCAGCTCAGCTTTCACAGCCACACCGGGCTACCTCCTGCCAGTCATCCTCTCCAGACTACTGACTGTGACCCCTTCCTTCCTCATGGAGCCTTAACACCTAAGCATGTTTTCTGTGACTCCCTTTGTCACCTAGTAGTCTTAATTGTTTGCTTGTCTTATCTCCCCTGATAAAGATACTTGACATGCATACTCTTCATCTAAGCTTTACAGCTGATCTTGCAGAGTGGATGTATTACCCTAAGTTAAAAATACAGAAACTGAGCCCCAGGGAATTAATGTGGTTTGCCTTAGTCTGCTTTGTAACTTCTCAGGGCTGTCACTGTTGTCCTTTATTTTTTTGTGGTAGGCAATGAACGCATTGCCTTCACACTAATCTACCTCCTCAATTCCTTTTTTATTTTGGGACAGGGCCTTGACAACTTTCTCAGGCTGAACTTGAATGTGATATCCTGCTTTAGCCTCCAGGAATCCTAAGATTATAGGAGTACATCACCACAGCTTGATCAAGACAAGTTTAACTTGAAAAATATAAAAGGAAACTAAAGAGTTATGGGTAGATAATAGGAAACAGAGAGGTCTTTTCAAATGAGAAGGGGACCAAAAGATATAGGGGAGAGGAAGGGTGTGAAAGAATGAAAATGGGTTACTTACACACACACACACACACACACACACATCCACCTTTATATAGTACATATATATTCATATATAACACATTTTCATATAACATATATAACACATTTTCATTCATTCATATATATGTACCAACTCCTCACAATGAATGTAATAATTGTGTATTGCCAGTATGTAGTAGTGCAAATAATTTTTAAAGAAATGCAGCATTATAAAAATGGAAAATACAGAGCACTCACTTTAGTTTTTTCTTGTGCACATACTGATAAAAATAGGATTATACTGGGGAGTTAGCTTAACAGCATAAGCGCCAGTCTTGCAAGCGTGTGGTCGTGAGTTGGATCCCTGATAACAAAACAAAATAATAATAGTAATAACAATTATTTTATTTTCTTTTTTTAATTTTTTTTTTTTTTTTTTTGGTACCAGGGATCGAACTCATGACTGCCTGCTTGCGAGGCAGGCGCTTATGCTGCTGAGCTAAATCCCTAGCCCCATAACAATTATTTTAAAAAATAGGATTATGCCTTAGTACTACTACATATCAATAAAAATTACTCCTTTTTATTTGCTTTTTTAAAACTTTATTTTAAAGAATAAAATCAAAACAAAACAATAAAGCTCATCACAATAGAACAATGAAAGTGATACAGAACTTCAAAACAAAATTATAGGAAATCCACAATGGCTACCATAATGTCTCGTTTTTTTCAAAATAAATTTCTAGGCCAGGGATTTAGCTCAGCGATGTGTCTGCTTGGCAAATGCAAGGCCATGAGTTTGATCCCCAGCACCAAAAAAAAAAAATAGCTGTCCATATCAGACATAACAAAGTCAAAACTAAACAACAAAACCAATCAAAACAAAAGAATGAAAGCATATTTTAGAGAGTCAAACCAAACAGAAGAAAACAGTAAACCAATCAAAACAAAACAGTGAAAGCAATACAAGATTTCAAAACAGGACAATAGGAAACCAACCATAATGCCTCCTGTTATCTTCAAAATTGCTGCCCATAACATCAGACACAATAAACCCAAACAAAATGAAACTGATCAAAACAGAACATTAAATGAAACAGAACAGTATTGGATTTCAAAAACAAGACAAGGAAATTCCCCATACCTGCTATGCTGCATACAGTTACCCTCTCAATAGATGGCCAGCTACCTACAAAGTCAGTAAAACAACAGAAGCTTTAAATTGTTTTGATACCTCAGATGCTATCAGCTCAGCCTGTCCTCTGAATCAGCCAGCTGCCCACTGCCCACACGAGGCGGGGTTTCTTGTCTTCCAGCCTGCGTGCAGGCTGGCCCATGAGAAAGGTGAAGTGACTTCTTGTTCTTGTTACTTCTCCCAGGCCCAACATACCTTCCGCCAACTCAGGGAAGGGCAGGTTTGGCTTGTTCTCATCCCAGAACCCGCAAGGCTTGCACTGGGTCACAGGAAGGGCAAATTGGCTTTGTGTTCTTGTTACTCCTCCCAGGCCCAACATGGCTTCTGCTCTGATTGTTTTCTGAAAGGGTCTCGCTGTAATGGTTCAGGCTGGTCTAGAACTCACTATGTAGCAAGCTGGCCTGGAGCCTGCAGAGATCCTCTTCCCCCAGGCTCCCAAGTGTTGGGATTATAGGCATGCGCCAACACACCTGGGTCTGCTTTTTTTTTCACCTCCCCATATTACACTATTTATTGATTGATTCAGGGTCTCACTTATCTTAACCAAATAAGCATGATTAAAAATTCAGCTAAAGCCAGTCCCAGGTGTTATAATCCCAGCACTTTGTGGCTGAAGCAAGAGGATCACACATTTGAACTCAGCCTGGGCAACTTAACGATTTAGCAAGGCTGAGTCTCAAAAAAATAAAAACTATACTGAATTTTAATACTACTTTGAATTTAATGGTCATATAATATCATGTGGATAATTCTTCATTTATGCAGTGGATCCCTTTTTAATTGTTTGTTTTCTGTACTGAGAATTGAATTTAGGACCTTGTGCTTGCCCAGGCAGGCACTATGCCATTAAGCTATATCCCCAGCTTCTATATCCTTTATTGATAAGCATTTAATCCTTACTTTTTTATCTGCCATTAGAACATTGTTGCAAACTACATGAGGTGGGGTTTGCCTGTCATCTCAGCACTTGGGAGGCTGACGCAGAAAGATTGCAAGTTCAAGGCCTACCTGAATTGCATAGTTAAACCCTCTCTCAAGAAGAAAAGTGAATATTTGAATACTTGAATATTTTAGTGTATCTTATGTAAATATTTTCCTGGATAATTTTAAAAGCAAAGTTATGGTTGTATGTGTGCGTTCTGTATTTTTTTATTATATATCTGGCTCTTGCAGATGTCTGTTACTCATTAACTTTTTTAGGGGCCGGGGATACAGCTCAGCGGCACAGCACCTGCCTGGCAAGCACAAAGTCCCGAGTTTGATTCCCGGTACCAAAAAAAAAAAATTCCATACTTTCTAATTCTTCCTTCTGCATAGCAGTGTTTCTGTTTAACAGCTTTTGTCCTGAGCATTTAGTGGGTTACAGCAGCATATGTCTGGTATGAGGAGAAAACATAAGGAACTTGGCATTTTTTTGTCATAAGCAAAGATCTAGATGGTTTCTCTGATGTTTTATTTATTTCCCAGTGAAACCCTATGGTGTTTGCTCCCATGTCTTGGCTGTTGATAGTGCTGCTGTGGGCATGCATGTACAGGATCTTCAAGACCTTGCTTTCAGTTATTCTGGATATATAATGGGAAATAGGATGCTAGATTATGACACAGTTCATTTTTAGTTTAGAGGAACCACCTCTCAATTCTGCTGTTCTCCATAGCCATTGTATCATTTCACAGCCCCGCGGTAGTGCACCAAGCATGGCAGCTTCACAGTCCACTGGCACTTGTCACTCTGTTGTTCTCTTGGACATTTTTGATATGTAGGTGCCAACCTTACAAGGCATGAGTAGTACTATGTTGTGGCTTTGATTTGCATTTTTCTGGCATTTAATGAACATCTTTTGGTATGCTTCTTGGCTATGTTTCATCTTTGGAGACGTACCTTTCAAGTCTTTTGCTTAATTGTAAGTTCAGTTATTTCGTATTTTCTTATTAAGTTGTGGTCGAATGTATTTCTTGCTGTTGAAGAATTAAAATCAATTTATAGATAATTTATTATCTTCAGGAAAAGATGATTTCCAGCACCAGTCTTAGAATGTAGGAGTTACTCTGGATAATCCTACTGTTTGACTCTTTTTTGGGAAAATCAGGTTGACATGACTGGAAAGAGAGAGCTTGCAGCTTACAGGAACAGATGTCTTACAGGGGTGGAACATTAGTTCCAACCCGTGAGCTGGTCTGTATGTCAGACTTCAAGTCTTCACTCACAGTGTCTGATACACCTGACTTTTATTCCCGACAGCCTCCTGGAGTCCGTGTCACCTGTGATGTGGTGCAAGGATGTGAATCTTGGAGTCAGACAGGCTTCATTTCAGAATGCTGACTCCACCAGTTTACTAGCTGTATCTTGAACAATAGAGAACATTGGCTTTCTTGTGGACACTTTTTAAACTGGGTAAATAATATTTCACAGTATTGTTTTAAGAATTTCAGTACATCAAAGTATAGTGCAAAGTGTATTCCTAGACACGTTCTCATACCTCGTCACCTTCCAAAACGCCCCTACCTGTGTGCCCACAGCGTACACTTATCCTTGGCAGATTCTTGTATTAGTTTGTGAATTCCTTAACTTTGAACCTCTAACACCTAGCAGAGGACCAAGTTCTTAGTTAATAAATAAGTATAAGTGTGAATAAGTTGGAGGCAAGCAACAGCAAACTGTTATCTTCCATGAAGTCTGTCCTGTTAGAATGTTGGAGGTATATCATGTGTAGAATAACCTAGTTCAGTGAAAATACTTGGTTTCAGGATCCTCTTTAGCTCATAAAAGTCACTATAATCCCCAAAGCCTTTATTTACATGAACTAATTTTTATGGTCTTAGAAATTAATTTTTAAATATTGATTTTAATGTAATGATAAACCCTTGACATAGCCATGTGCCATATTTTCATGAAAAGTTACTATTTCTGGTCCTGTCCCCCCCAGGTTTTTTAAAATTTTTGAAACTTTTCTTTTTTTTTTTTTTTTAAGCTTTTCTTTTTTTATCTGACTTGAAAAATAGGTGAAACTTATTTCTGCATTCAGTCTGTTGTAATAAGTTGTTCTGGTTGAAATACATGCAGAAAATACAGCCTCCCACAGACAAGTGGTTGAAAAGAGGGGACTTCTGAGACTTCCTCCTCTTCTGAAAGTACTTCAGGCACCAGTAATTTAGTCTGAGCTGTGGGCGTATGGTACTGAAGCCCATTAACATGTTCAGTTACTATGTTAACAGAAAATACAATGTTTTAAAGTTCAAAACAATTCACCCTCTGTAAAAGGAAAAACATAGTGTCCACAAACTGAAGGAGGGATGGAGAAATTCTGCCTTTGGCTCTGTAAATAATCCTTTGTCACTTATTATTTGTAGGCTAAAAGAATCCCTCCTGAACAGGAGAGGTGGGAAGCAACATGATGGGTTCAGAAGCTCATGAGAAGAGGCCACCAATCCTAGCGTCTTCTCAGCAGGACTTGTCGCCGCGCCTTGCTGGCGTGGGCGAGCTGAAGCATTACTTGTGCGGCTGCTGCGCGGCCTTCAGCAACGTGGCCATCACCTTCCCCATTCAGAAGGTCCTGTTCCGGCAGCAGCTGTACGGGCTCAGAACGCGGGCCGCGGTGCTGCAGCTGAGGCGGGATGGGCTCCGCAACCTGTACCGCGGGATCCTGCCCCCGCTGGTGCAGAAGACCACCACCCTGGCACTGATGTTCGGGCTCTACGAGGACCTGTCCTGCCTCCTGCACAGGCATGTCAGTGCTCCAGAGTTCGCCACCCGCAGCGCGGCGGCTGTGCTTGCAGGGACGACAGAAGCCGTTTTCACTCCGCTGGAAAGAGTTCAGACACTGCTGCAGGACCACAAGCACCATGACAAATTCACAAACACTTACCAGGCCTTCAGGGCCCTGCGGTGCCACGGGATTCGGGAGTATTACCGAGGATTGGTGCCCATTCTCTTCCGGAACGGGTTCAGCAATGTGCTCTTCTTCGGCCTCCGCGGCCCCATAAAGGAGCATCTCCCTACTGCCACCACTCGCAGTGCTCATTTGGTGAATGACTTCATCTGTGGGGGGCTGCTGGGTGCCATGTTGGGGTTCTTGTTTTTTCCAGTTAATGTTGTGAAAACTCGCATACAGTCCCAGATTGGTGGGGAGTTTCCGTCTTTCTCCAAGGTTTTCAAAACGATCTGGCTGGAACGAGACAGGAAGCTGGCAAACCTCTTCAGGGGGGCCCATCTGAATTATCATCGGTCCCTCCTCTCATGGGGCATAATCAATGCGACTTACGAGTTCTTGTTAAAGATCATATGACAGAGTTACCAGTGAAGTGCCATGTGTCAGCTATATAGACCTGAGCAAAGCCTGCTCTGGCTTTGACTCCAGTCGGCCCAATACAGGTTGGTGTCATTGAGTCCACACCATGGTGGATTTATGGGCAGAGTTGTTTCCCATTAATATCAGCAAGTACAGAATAAAACATTTCAGGAGGAAACTTCTAAATTTCTTTTTCTCTTGTTTTTAAATTTTTTGCCATGATCCAAGAGCCTCAGGCTGATGGCTGGTAAGCAGCTGTCTGTCTGATGGTCTTGCACAGGGTACCCTCATAGCCAGGGTGATTCTTTTTCCCCTAACAGCCATTAATCCTTTTGTACTGAAGCATCAAATGGCCACAGGCAGCCAGGGAAAATGCTCTCGGGGCCCAGGACTTCTCAGGCTTACCTTGTTACTCCGTTTCTCCTCGGCTGTCAGGAGCAGTCGCAGAGGGTGGTCTTCATTTCACTCAGGCTTGTATGTGGCAGGACACAGGCAGAAGGGAAGAGGAAAGCAGCTTATCGGATCATGCTGGAATTGTTGGTGTTAGTTTCAAAACTGGGCACCTGTTGGGGTAGCCTTAATCCAGACTTTCCTGTTGAGAGGAGTACCGCTAGTGACATTACTAATTTTGCTTTCTGCCTTTGGAAGTTTTCTCTTTCATTCTGAATGTGACCTTAAGCCTTCCAAAATATTCTTACATTAATTTTATTGCTTTCATTGCCAAAAAATGGGAGGATTTAAATTTTTTATAGGTGTTTCATCCTGGTAGGTTGCTAATTACATATATTCCTATTCTGTCTAGCTTGATTTCTTTGAACTTTTGGCACCAGCCTACCAGAGGGCTTCGGGGGCTTTTTCCCTCTTGGGTAGTAATTTGTCATGTTTGAGCATCCTGTTTTCTTGAAACTCTATTTTTAAAAAATAAAACACCCTCTATGAGCTTTTGTCTTAAGAATCTGTTATCCCAGTTTCTCCCCCTCTTCTGGTTTCTAAACGTTATTGGAGGAGAGGGGGAAAGTTCAGCATAGCTCTTGCCCCCAGTGTCGGCTGTCTTTGATTCCTGGAAACGAAGACTCTTGCAGCATTGACATTGGGGGAACCCAGTTTTACCACTGTGTCATTGAAGTTTGGTAGTTTAAGAGCATATCGTCTAAGTAAAACCATTTGACAGGTTATGTTGGATTTTAAAGGTTCATGGTGGCCAGACAGCCTGCTTGTCCCTCATTTACAGACAGAGCTTGTCGTGGAATCAGAATAGTTTTTTTCCAGACTGGTGAAGCAAAATGACTCGCATAGCAGTTGAATAACAGGAATAATAAAATACAGAAACATTCTGGAAAAATGCTTGATGCATCTTTAAAACTCTCTGTAAATATTAATGTACTTAAGATTGCTTCCTGCCTTCTAACAAGAAAGTACGTTTGTTTTGTAATTGCAGGAATTGAAGCCAATCCTGTCATGTGCCAGGCCAGAGTCCCACCACCAGGCAGTGCCATCCCCTCCCCCTCTTAAGGATAGATTTCTTGTTATCATTTATTTTTTCATTTTTCTGGGTAGTTGCATGTGAATCTGTGCATATACTGACCAAAAAATCAGGGTCTCAAATAGTTGTTTACTCAAGTTTCTGAGCAGGTGGTCCCAAGCAGCTGTTTACCTCGAAGTGTGCTGTGGCTGTTTCAGCGAAGCGAACGCCCTTTTTCCAGCTGTAAAGGGTTAGGGAGCGCAGTGAGCATCAGCAGGGTGGTAGTGAGGAGGTGAACAGCTTTACCGCAGTTCTGCGTGACAGTTTTGTGCCAGGTGTAGCAGTTATAGAGGTGAAGGTACAGATGCGAGGATTTCAGAAAACAGGTTGACACCAAATAAATTCCAGTTGTGTTCTTTGGCCTGTTGAGCTGGGACTTGAAGGGAGCTGCAGAAGTGAACCCTGGGGTCCTGGCTCCCCATTCACAGGTTAACCATGAGCACCTGCAGGCAGAGCCAGGTGCCTTCGGGGCGCAGGGGCCTCGCCCCTGTGCTGGTGTGAACTCCGCCGACCTTCAGTTCTCTGGGGCTGGCTTTTGTCTACACTCCATGCAGAGGGCAGATTTTACTTGTAAAGCACTTTGGTGAAAATTGTAAGAAAAATGCTTTGGTATTTGTCCCATCAAAGGATATGTGGCATTTAAAAACAATTATAAATGTTTTTAGTGGTTTTTAATTCTTAAATTTGCCACTTTTTACTGTTCTTGAAGACCAAACTACAAATACATTACCAGAGATGGTTTTGTATTGTGCTATAGACTTAATTTGACAACGAAATTCAGAACTTGTAGCCAGTAGTTTTATCTGAGCTTTAAGTCAAAACGTGTGATAAGTAAGAAATTGTTTTTGCCATCAGTTTGAATTAGCATGATATATATATATATGTATATTTTTTTATCTTTTTGAGACAGGGTCTCTGTATGCAGGTCAGGCTGGCCTTGAGCTCACTTTGTAGCCCAGGCTGGTTTTGAACTTACAATGATCCTCCTGCCTCAGCCTCCCTAGTGCTGGGATTATAGGCGTGCACCACCATGCCCAGCTAGCATGGTAATAATTTATAAAAGGCAAATCTGATAGCATAACTGTCTGAAAAGCTTTAAAGTGGTCTGTTACATATGTGGCACAGATCCGGCTCATGAGCACAAGTCCAAGTGCTCGTGGTCCTGTTCTTCATGTCTGATGCCACCAGAAATGTCATGAATGCCGTATTAACACACTTCTAGAGTGATAAAATCCCTGAGGACTGTAGCACAAACACAGCCTTTATATTGTAACCTTGTGTCTTACTTATTTCACTTGTGGTTGGGCATAAATTTAACATTTTTTGTCTAACTAGTCATCATTCATCTTAATTTGTGGTTGGTTATATAATTACCTACTATCCATTGACCTGTGCAATAAAGTAGGATTGTGTACCTGGAATTGATTTTGGATATCTGAAGTTCTCAGGCTCAGTTACAGGAGTGTCCGTGTTCAGTGTAAGGCTGTGCACACCTGTAAGACATGATGAGCAGCAGACAGGACGCGTGCAGTGGGGCCTAGCGGGCCTGCGGTGCAGAAGCCAAGCGCATGCGGCTAACACTGGCGCTGTGCAGATGGAGTACAGGGGTGAGGATTCTGGGGGCCACTGGAGAAGGGGTAAGCACTCAGACTTGTTTTCCTTTACATTGAAATATCATTTTCTCATGTACAAATAAATGCATATCAAAGACTTGAACATCATTCTCTCAAAACTTGTGGATTTTTAGTTTTTAGTGCTGTCTTTTGTGTAGTAAATACTTTGCCTAAATGGTCCCAAGTTGTGTGTGTGATCTCTGTATGTTCTTCTTTTGAAGTCTCATTATTAAAAGTCAGTTACCAAACACAAAATTTTTGTTTGCTGTTTTAAGTTATGTGACTGAATCTAAATGAAGTCTCTTTAGTGTTTTGACATTAATATACTTTCTTTGGGGTAACTAGAATGAATTTTTTTGTTTTTAGCATTTCACTGAAAACATTTTATTGGCCTTGGATAGAAATGGCTCTTTACTTGGTACGACAAATGATCCCGTCGTGTCTGTGCTGGAACAAGTGCCTAGCCTCTGCTGACTATGTTTTCCTGTGGTGCAGCCTGCCTCACGCGTCCTCTCTGCAGAGTTGAAACCTGGCCTCCTCAGCACCACATGCAAGTCCCTGCCGTAGACAGACCAGCGCTTGGGTCGTGTTTGATGTGCTGCTGGCGCCCAGAGCCACAATGTCCACGTCAGGTGTGATGCGTGCCTGTAATCCCACCACTTGGGAGGCTGAGGCTGGAGAGCTTCTGAGTAAAAGTTTCCAGTATTAGAAGTTACTTGTCCTTCATTCATATGTTCACATCTTCAGACTTTCTCCCACCTTGGCAGTCTTCCTTTCTCCTGATGCCAAAGCATCTGACAACATACCTGTGAGCTCCTCCAATACTACCCTGCTCGGTCTCCAAACCCAACGGCAGTGTTGAGGCAGACCTTACACATGCTGAGTCCCCGCTGGGCTTCGTTGCCCTGGCTCTCACAGCAGCCCCCGAGCCAGGCCTGTATGCCCTCCAGATGGCTGCCGGAAGCTCACTCCTGGAAGGACAGGAGGGGACGTAACAAGGTCCAACCCAGTTTCCACCTGGCCAGCATTACAGGGACTGCTCGGGCAGGACAGCCCTGTGCCCCGCTGACAGAGGACAGTAGACATGAAGGGAAGCAAGCCAGGTCCCAAGCTCTCATTTTGTCCGTCCTGTTTGCTGTTTTGTGGTTGGTTTATTACCACTGGCATTTTTCCTTTTCTGTGTGTGATTGTTAGTCTTTTGATAACTGCACACTATCTTGACTGTGAGCAATTCCCTGGAGAACTTTGCAGGTAAAATAACTTACTCTTCTGCTGTCAAATGTCCCTCCCTCGGGTACTGGCTCACAGTTCTTTAAGAAACTAATTTTATTGGTAAACTTATACATAATGATCACATTCACCATAGGAAATTTGTACCTATTTGTAATACATCTTTTCCCCCATTCTCCTCTCTTCCCTTCAACTCTTCTCTCCCTTTAGAAAACTTTTCCTTCCATTCTTTTCTGCTTTTTATCCTTACTTCCTCCCTTTTGCCTCCTTGTTCCGCTTCCCGTTTGAACACGTCCTTCCTGTTTTCCAATATCTAGCCTTTCTGCTCCTTATTTACCTGTTGGATTTCTCACACATGAGAAATGATGCAATATTTATATGTGTCTAAAGTATTTCACATAAAATTATGTTCTCAAGGTGCATCTATTTACCTAAAAAGGACTTATTTACTCTTTATGCCAATTAGTACTCCATTGTATATAAAAATCACATTTTCTTTACTCATTCATCTATTGATGGGCATATGGGCTGTTTACAAGGTTTACCTACTATACATTGTGCTACCATAAACATAGGAGTTTATGTATATCACTGTGGTGTGATGCTTTTAACTCTCAGGAAGCTACGTAGAAGAGGAAATGTCAAATGGAATCTCTAGTTCTGTTTTGTTTTCGCGTTATTTGGGGGGAGTGCCAGGGATCAAACTTACTGTAAAACCAAATGATGAGTTCAGTCATCCAAGTATTGTAATCCTCTTTCTAGATTTCTTCACAATCCAAAAGGTTTTATTTATAATCCCATTGAGACGTCATTGGAATCCCAGCAAGTTAATTCCAATCTACCACCACCAATGCAACCCATGGGGAGAGTAAAAACACCAAGACATATTCCATGTTAAGGGCAGCCAAGGGGTCCTAAATCCAATCCTTGTGAGGACAAGCGGACAAAGACCTTGATCCTAGGCCTCTCAGAATTTATTATCTTGGGAAGAAGGGGTGTGGCTCAGGGATGAGTCACAGTGAGGATGGCAGGGATTATGTGGTAATTTGAGCTGGCCAACCAGGTGCAAGATTGGCATCTCTGTAAATTGCAGAGATAAAGATATGCAGAAGGACCAATTTACATAACCCAATTAAGGTAGCAGTGGAATTGTCTTGGGGGGCTATTGCTTTGGTTTCTGACATATAAACTCTTGTGCCCTGGGGAGTCATAGCCTCTTATCTTGAGGCTGTACCCAGTTGACATTCCTGGAGCTATTGGCTGTAATATCTCATGTGCTCAGATCCAGTACCTATCTGTATTGTACAGAGAACACTATGCGAGGAAACAGGACTGCCTGTTGGCTTTAGAGATTACATACCAGCACCTTATTTGCAATGCGTAGAGCCAATTGAAGAGAGAAGGAAACACTCTAGCCAGCTCTCCACATACCAGTATAAGGAAATAAGTCTCCAAATCAGTCACAGTAATTGTTTTGGATTCAAAGGGAGTCACTGGAGTTGTCTCCCACAAAACTCACAACCTTGGGCTTGCCAGGAAAGCACTTATGCCACTGAGTTGAAACCCAGCCTCTAGTGTTTATTTATTTTTTTTTTGAAGAGTCTCTATACCAATTTCCATAGTGGAAATTCCAGTTTACACTGCCACCAGCAATAGAGAAGGGGTTCTTTTTCCCTCACCATCACCAGCATGTTACTGGTTGATTACTTGATGATACCCATGTTCTGTGGAGTGAGACAGAATCTCAGTGTTGTTTTAATTTTGCATTTATCAAATGGACTAGCTCCTACTTTCAGAACTAGACCAAGATTTCCTGGTACAGGTGCCTTGCTGCCATGTTTATATTTTCTTATAGCACCTGGTTTAATTATTATTTCATCTGTTGGCTTTTTAGAGTGCCAGTTCCATGTGGCAAAGACTGGTATGGTTCGCTCTAAGTAGTTCCTGGTAACGTGGCAGATACTGGGTAAAGGCAGCCTCCTTGCCTAGCATACTCAAGGGACTGGGGGGGCCGCATGGCTGTTCAGGATCAAGACCTGTAATATTCTGTCGGACCTTAATTTGTTGATAGGTCATATAGATCAAGAATAATTTTTACCCCAGTCTCAAGGTACTAAGCTGTCTTTACTTGGGCAGCCATAACAAAATACCAAAGGCAAGGTGTCTTCAGCAGCAGGCATTTCTCACAGTTTGGAGGGAAGACCAGGACCAAGGTGCCACCAATTTAGCGCCTGATGAGGGCCCTTTCCTGTTTACAGACGGCCACCTTGTTATATCCTCACATGATGCCATAAGAGAGAGCTCTAACCTCTTCTGCTTCCTGTAAAGTCACCATCTTGTCACTGGGACAAAATACCCACAATTTAAAGGAGGGATAGTGAGAGGGCCTGGTGAGGGAACCTGCTCATAATGTTACAGGCAGCCGCGCTAGATAGAAATTACAGGCAGGCAGACAGGGCTAGGCCCTCAAGGGAGCTGACACGGAAAACCCTTATCATTTGGAGGTCTGGAATGAAACTCCCAACCTACTAAATGTCCAGAATGAGTTTGTATTCTCTAAAAATGTCATGGTGGTCAGGAAGCAGAGAAAAGAGGAACCAGGGATAGAGATATGCCCTTCAATGATACAGGGGAATGAAACTCCCAACCTACCGTGTCCGGAATGAATTCATGTTCTCTAAAATCAAACAATGAATCTTAGGAACAATGGAAGTTAAGAGTAGAAATATTTATTGTGAGAAAGAAAGTTTCTGTCTGACAGAGACAGAAGGGGTCCTGAGCAGGTTGCCGAAGAGTTTGTATTTTCTCAGGATTTTTATAGAGTAAAACCATGAGGTGAGGCAGCTCTAAAATTGGGGAAAATTGGGAACTTGCTATGTTTAGCCAATAAGATTAATAGCTCAGGTAAAACTGACTAAATTGGGAACAAATGGGGAAGTGAGTCATATAGAAAGTGGGCATTCTTAGAGAGCAGCGACTCCTGACTTCTCAAAGTGATCCAGACTTAATCCCTAAGGATTATACTTAAGGGTGTGGTTATATATGTTTTGCCTTCTGTCCCAAGATTTGGCCCACTGCAAAAAGTGTGTGTCTCCTCCAAGATCATGAGTCATCTGGTCCTCTGTGCCAGCTTCTTTGAGGGCCTACCTCTGTCTGCCTATATTTCTAACTAGCTCAACTACCTGTAACACTTTCAGGTCACACCTTCCCCAGAGTCTGCCTCTCCCAACCATGCCCCACCTACTAACTGGAAGTCAAAAGCCCTACCTCTGCATGCATGAGTCCTTGAGGGGACATTCTCAGTATAAATTACAACTTTCCATCCCTGGCCCCCAAAGACCCCTGCAAATCTCTTTATGAGAAATACGTAACTATCACCCTGGGCTTTAGGTCTTCAACATACAAAGTTGGGAAGGAGAACAAACAATCAGTATACAACATGAGCCACATGAACGATGAGGCTTCTTTATCCTTCTTTAGCTTCAAAACAGTTGCCCCTTATTCTGAGAAATGTCCGTGCTGTTGGAGACAAAACTCTGTGCCCAAGTCAGGATTTAGCATACAGCAGTCTGCTTTTCATCTCATTCCTGGGTGTATTCCCGAGTTGTGATGACTGAGGAGGGCAGTAAGAAAGTAAGCTTTAAAGTCATTTGTCATTGACCACGGCTTTTAATGCAGAAGAACCAGGATGGTGGTGACTTGCTTTCGATATTTTAGAGCAAACCGCCTGTGGAACTACTCTGTATTGCTAGAAGAATTAAAACAGATTTAGATGGGGTTTTTTTTATTGGTTAAGCAATTATTTGTGGGTAAGTCATTTACCTGTTCTTAATGTAAAGTGGACAGCCAAGGAAGAGTGCTCTTTTTTTTTTTTTTTTTTTTTTTTTTGGTCTTTTTCATTTTTACCGGTACCAGAGATTGAACTCATGACTGCCTGCTTGCAAGGCAGGAGCTTATGCCGCTGAGCTAAATCCCCAGCCCCTAGGAAGAGTGCTCTTAACTACACTGTTTCAACTTTCAACTGT